TGGCATTGTGGCGGGATTGCTCTCGAAATGATCCCCAGTGATCAGCGCCTCGACAACTCTCTGCCTGCTTAACGCAACCAGTCGAGCTGGTGATGCGGGCGGTACAGTACCACCTGGCGACGCAACGCCTCCTTCGTCAACCCGGCATAACTCTAGCACTGTCCAAACCATAGACGCATCGAGACTACTCGCTTTACCGCGCTCAATCGGGTCAGTAGGCTGCGGGTCTGAAAGCGTGTCGATGAGGCCGCTGAATTGAGCTCGCTGTTGCGGATCCCCTTCAAGCATAGGCAAACCCTTCTCTTGGAACCAGTGCGTTTCCAGAAACCTGTCTGCTCCGCTACAATACATCGCAGACACCGCACTAACTTGGCTACTTCTATCTGGCTGGAGTGGAGCGATTGGGAACTTTGGGGGTGGCGGAATTCCGTCGAGTGAAAGGAGGTCATGGGCATTAAGCTTTTTCACTGGTAAGAAAAATATTAGCTTGACGAAAGGAATATTTGTGAAGTGAGAAATCCACAAAGCAGGAGAAACAACAGAGATAGAACACGCACCTTTTTGGCCAAGAGGTTGAGGCATCGTGGCGGGATCAGCTGGCGGCGGTGGCACTGGAGCTGCCTGGGGTTGCAAATTGCCTTCTGTATTGTTTTGAGTCGGAGGAGGTGCGGGGGGTGAGTTGTGCGGAGGTTGCGACGGGTCGGTAGAAGTGCGGTAATCAGGCTGTTCGAGCGACGGGGTCGGGGATTCGGAGGGAAGCGAAGGAACAAATGGCGGCGGAGCTGCAGCAGCCACGTATCCAGGAGGAATATTAGGATATGAAGACGGGTTCTGAGGGGCGACCACTAGCGATGGTGGAGGATTGGGCGCAGGCTGGATGGCCGATGGAGGGGGTTGTGTTCTAAACACTGGGTCGTATCCCAAGCATTCGCGTTTGCTCTTTACGCAATTTCTGCATACAGGATGGGTTTCATCGCACTGGAAATACAAAAAAAGAAGCTTGTCAGTTCCGAAAATAGCTGTGGGAGGGGAATTCGTTGGTCTGGGGTCCTGATATATAGGTTCAAGACAAAGGAAGAAGTGAATGTTTTGGTTGTGCAACGGCAAGTTAAGCGACAGATGGTCGTGCGGAACAGACATCCCACCTCCATCATTCACTTTTAACTACAGAACACATTTCTTTCGTCGCATTATTTAGACGTACCTTAATTCTTCGTTTCCTGCACGTTAAGCAACCCGTTTTGGTTCTGCGCTTCACCTCCTTCTTATGTCTTCCGCCCGAAAGTAACTTATTTTGTTCGCCCTGGTACCCCGCCACTTGCATTGTACTAATGTTCATCTGGTCATGCGGCGGCATATTTGGCGGTGACGTAGAATAAAACTGATTCATTGAAGCCATCTGGGGGACGGGAGATGGGTTCGCGGGCATTGGTTGTCCCATGGGTACTTGTGGTCGTTGCGGAACATGCTGCGACTGTGGAGGCTGCTGAGGCGGCTGAACCTGAACTGTTTCCGCTGGCCGATCAACGGCATGTATTGGAGGTAGATTCGGAGGAACTTGTGATGGTGGCTGCGCGGCCGATGATGTATAGGGCGGCTCGACATGGTTTTGTGGTGTTGGCTGCTGTTCCGGTTTCTGGTTTTGGGATTCAGAAGGCTGGGGTTGCGCAACAGCCGAATTAGGTTGTGATTTCGGTGTTGGATAGGCGGTTATTTGTGATACGGCGCCATTCTCCGGCTGAGAGGTCACCGCATTCTCATTTGGAGGGCCGTTGGGGCCATTAGGAACATCCTGAGCGGATGGTTTTGGTGAAACCGTCTCAGACATCTGTAGAGGTGGAGTAATGAATTTCGACCCTCAAGGCCGGGTAAGAGTAGGGTGCCCAATAAGACTGGCTCTGACACAAGTCCAACAAAAATGGTACTGGAGGCCGGCGTAGAGGTATCAAGCCGCAATGGTGTTTGACGGTTACGGGTTGTATTTTCGATCCGAGGTTGTTTCGCGCACGCGATTTGAGAGGAAGTTCGGACGAATTAATCGGAAAGAACTAATGGAACTCTGGTCGACAGACAGTTAGCCATAGCTTCTAGACACAATGACATTGTAGACAAGTAGTATTGTCAAGAGATACAAGCCTCCTAGTACCCACGATAGGGTACGTGAGGGACGGTGGCATGAAGGGTAATGTGTCTTTCGAGCTCAATGCGCTTTTGTCTCAGCTGGGTGACCTCATAGTTAAGCACACCGGCTCCCCAGGGAACAAAAGCCACAATTGAGGCCCTGGCGAAAAATAAGGAATGACCAGACGGCCCTAAAAGGTGATAAGAATGGGGTTTGTCTCCGTCGCGGGTGGCTGTCAGACGCTCTGTGATATGTTACAGAGCCCGTATGCGCCAGAGAGAACTAGAACCACGGCAGAAGCCGTGAGCTCCCAGAGCTCTCAAAATAATAGAATCCATGTTGAACGCACCAGTAAAAAGAAAGCGTGAAGGCAGAGGGCCATCCATCCATTGTTGCAGAACGCGATCAATCGAAGAGGGAAAGCACAGAAGGGAAATGAGATCCTCGTTAATTTATCAACATACCTGACCGAGATAAGCGAAATAGAAGCCAGCCGAGTGAACTCGATAACCGACATTGACCGTCTTCTCAAGGCAATAAGGTCTCCCTCCACAATGTTGAAAGCGGTAGTCCGAACGACGTTGTTGGCGACGGGGGATTGGTGTTGTTTGTGAGAGTCCAGGGTCTCAAGAACTTTTGGGTCCAGCGCGATAGAAAGCTGAGGGTTGACAAGAGAAAACCAGTGGCAAGTCACCGCCAAGGGGAGTTTACGGCCACCACGATATGAGGGAGAAGAAGCTGATTTTATATGAGGATAGATCAATGCTGTCTGAAGAAAGAGGGAAGGGTGAGACGAAAGTGTTCTATGATTAACGAGATTGGGATCTGGGATGAAGTACGAAGAGGACCAGAATTGATGTTTCTACTGTTGAATTCTATCCGACGAAATCAATATAATAACATCGGTCAATCAGCAAGTTGATTATATCACAGTGGACATTCACAGCAAACGAGATGAACTACAGCTGCTTCTATATACGACAAGATACTGAGATTAAAAAGTGAAAAGGGAGTCGCAACCTAGAATTGTAGTACTATAGTCTCTGCGGGAGGATCGAAAAATAGAACATTCTATTGTCTATTGTTTTGCGGTTTTCTATACAGGAGGTCCATTCATTGATCGTCTGAATGAAAGGTTCCGTCCAAATATCCAGACCTATCTCTCTGGTAAATCCAGCTCACACAATAGTTTGCTGTAATGACTCGTTTGCCAACCAATAGTGATTGATTAGAGTAGTAGCCTTGGTTTGCATGCATACCTGCTACCTCTGAGGATAGGGAGCTCACGGGAAACAGGAGGATAGGTAATTCGTGCAATAGGAAAGCTTTCTGCCAGGCGAAGGAGCCTAGATTCCAAGCTTTTCTATTCATGAAATGTCATCTTTGTAGACTAGGCCACACTACCTTGTGAATGACAGATGGGTATGATGGCGATGCATTCAGCATGTGCCAAAAAAAGCCAGATGCGAGAGCGGGTGTAGACATGCCTGCTTCCTAAACAGAACGTCGTTGGGTCAGGACAAGTCGACAGTAAGCCCCAGTAGCAGCATTGCCCTGTGGCGGAATCTAGGCAAGATATCTGTTTTGATATCTCTTGGTACACCGTAAAGTACCTCGCTATGGTATCGAGCCAGAATGGGTCGTCATACCAGTCTTCGTGGACCAAAGGGGGAGAAAAATCTCTTTATAGTCTCCAGCTGACCGATCTCATTTCCTGGCATGCTTTGGTTTGCGTTTCTTGAAAACAACCCCAGCCGCTTGTCCCTCAGAGGACTCCTTTGCGACCTCGGGAGGTACGTCAGTTTCTCCTGGATCCTCCGCCTTTATTGCAGCACCTGCCTCTGGGCTTTTATTTTCAGGTATCCAGCTACCGACCCCAGATCCAGACTCTTCCTTTTTGATCACTGACGATGTTTCATCCTCTGCACCTTCGACCTTTTCACTCTTCACCGTAGCATCAGCAGGCTGTGATTCTGCTTTTATAGCCGGTCGACCCGTCTTCCGTCCATTTACCGCCGTAGTCGTCTTAAGCAAAGCATCCAAATCCTCATCCTCTTCCTGAAACCCAGGATATTTCCGAGTCGTCGATCCCCACCCCTTCTTAACAACCCTCTCACCAGCCTCTTCTTCCTCCTCCTGACCTTCATACTTCCGTTTCCGCACCCCAATATTTATCCCCGACCCCTCCCCATCTTTCCCATCCCCTTCAATAGTCCGTTCAGAAATGGTCTGCCAATCCCCAGCAAGAGCCATTTCACCCCGGAATTCCTGCGGTACCGCAACCCCCATCTCGGCTAGTTGAGCCACCTGCCTCTTCCTCTCGTTAGCAGTGGCCTGCTGAGATACCGGTGGAGCCACGGGTTTACGATTCCACGGCGCATTCTGTTTATCGGAGCCAGAGCCAGAGCCCGCAACTATGCCGTTCAATCGCTGGACTTCATCTTTCGCTTTCTGGTTTTCTCTTTCCTCGCGTTCCTTGCCACGGTGGATATCTCGTAAGAAGCGTTTCAGATTCCCTTGGTGTTTCCCCGTAGCTTCGTGTTGGGTTTTCTCGTAGGATGTGTCGCGGACGTATGTCTTGCAGTGCTTGCACCAGTACTTGGGCTATTGTTGAGAACTGTCAGAACTTTGTTCCAAATAGAAAACAGAGTGAAGAGAAAGTAAAGCTTACCGTCGATTTCCAGTATTCCGACATATCTGCGTAAAACCAAGATCGTGTCAAGGCATCGAGAGCTATTAATTAATGGGTTGATCTGAATAACTGTGAGCTTGTGATGCGACGAAGTTCGCCCAGAATCTCTCATCCAATCACGTGATTGTCATGCAGCCTCAGCCCATTCGGAAAGAATTTTCGGGGGAAGCGATTTCACCAACAGCTGCCCGGGTGGTCTAGTGGTATGATTCGCGCTTAGTAAGTTCCACTTGAATCAACCAATTACCATCTCAGTTACTAACAGCATCTCCAGGGGTTAACCCTTAGCATATCTGCGCGAGGTCCCGCGTTCGATCCGCGGCTCGGGCCCAGTGTTATCTTTTTTTTTTTCGACTTTTTTTATTCCCCTCTTCGAGACGCAAGACGCAAACAATCTCATGCATGTCCCCTACAGAATTCCCTCAATTAAGCTCAAAAATGTATAAATATGTCGGAACAACACACGCATGAATTTAGGGGTCCTCTTGAGTGGATACGATGCTAGAAAAGCAATCTACAGCTGTACTACAGGAGACATATCTTGGAAGTATGAATTGAACTGATTCGTTATATATCCATATCCATATCCCTTACATGCATGACACCCAATGGGGGTCAGCGGAAACAAGCACGCCTCGTCGTCATCATCATCGTCACAATAAGCTCCTGACACCCAATACCCCTCCTCTTAACCGGCATTCAATCATTCCACTCCCGTCATTGCATCGGGGAAGCCGTTGACATTATGAGGGCGATTGAGCAATTTCTACAGCGAATAGTCTATTAGCAGCCTGAAGAAATAATAAGTTTAGGGGTATGGTATCAAGAGATTACTTACAGCACTTGCACTTGCCTGGCTCACACTGGCAGCTGGCGCCACAGCTGCAGCTTGAGTTACCGCAGTTGCCCTGGTTGACAGGCTCGTTGATGAAAGAGGCAGCTAAAAGTATTCAATGTCAGTTTGTGTACTGATGGGGGGGGAGGGGGAACGGGTAGAGTCGGATAGAGGTAGGGGGTGGAGGGTTTGAACATACACATGATTGCTCGAAGGATAATTTCTTGGAGTAGTATAGTAGTCTTGGGTTCTTAGTAGATGATATCGATTTTGTCTTTGCGTTGAAACTAAGTTAAGAGAGGGGGGAAAGGGGGGGTTTTTATATCTTGGATGGGAGTATTTAAGGTTTCCGGTTCCACACTAAGAATAGATCCCATGTTCGCGGGTACGTCATCTGAGGGCTGATAAGGTGTGATAAGAAGACATTCTTTGGGCACACAATGGACGACTGTTGTAGATCGGGAAGGCAAAGAAGCGAAGCAAGGGAGTGAAGATGTCGCGGAACCAAGAGTGATGCTGGCGTGGCCAATCGATAGGAGCCTTGTCTGACCGCGAAAAACGCTCAAACTGAAGATTCACACTGGGGAAGAGTCAGCCGAGGGTATATTTGGCGGCCATCAGGCTAGATTTCTTGGCTTATGATCGAGATAGGACATCCCGTAGAATGTAAAAAGAAATATCCCCCTCTTTTCCCATTCATAATGGTCGAGTTATTTTTGCGGTACAACTCCACATCAGCCAGCCGAGTTTCTGCCTTCGCTTTGTGGAGAAAGGCTGGTGTTGTGGAGGGGCAAATCAAGGCTGTTGATCGACGCGAAAATAACTCTTGAGATAGAGTTCCAGGGCAACAACTTCGGCTAGCCGCTTGTCTGGCAAGGGAGGATCTGGAAGAATCCATTAGGTAGAGAAGCATACCTTCACGCTGCACCGAAAGAGCCATTAATGCGAATGAAAACCAGTAACAAAATGGTACTCCTGCACCTTAAGATTAGGTGTGCTTGATGATGCGGACTCTTCTGTAACCAGAGACTGGAGGCAGAGCACGATAACCACCATGAAGTTCTGAAACAAGACCAAACCTTGAGAAATAAGGTAAAAGCATATCATTATCTCGTGAGAGGATATATAACTTCCTCTCGACCACTTGCTGGGTTATCTTCAAAGTCGTTCAACCCTAACCTTAGCTTCGCGTACATCGTTGCTAAACCAAAACCCGACCTCCCGCGTGGAATCTGTCAGCTCTACCTCTCGCCGAACATACTTATCCCCATCTCCAGTTTCCACCGCCGGCGCTGCTTTCACAGGCTCTTCCCCATCTACCATTTCATCCTCACTATCCCACTCGTCTTCACCCACTTTGGTCTCGTCGACGGGGTCCCAATCTTCTGTTTCCCACATGAGTTTGAAACGAAGAGGAGTGAGGGAGAAGAGACGGGATACGATGGCTTTGACGCGGTAGATGTCGAATGATTTTGGGATTTCTATTTTGTGGATCGTTTCTTCTGTGCTGTCGGAATTTGTGCAAGGGGATGGCGGCATATAGAACGTGAAAGTAATTAAATGCGCTTCAAGGGATCTTGGATTGACACCTCCAGTCTCAGCTGACGGTGCACGTTTGATGACTGGAGCCCCATGGGTCTCGCATAATTCCTGGTATCGGGGGTGTGACTCCAGGATGGCCTTCTCCTCGCTGGGAGGAGAGTTAGACAGCTCCTTAGCAATCCGTGAGAGGTAATACAACTCCCCGTTGCTACGGTCCTGTGGCGATATTGAAGTATAGTTTAGGGCTTGAAGAGAAGAGAGTCGCGAGAGAGTCAGCATATACGCCTCATCCACGGTCATAGGAACCCGAACGCTGTCCACATCCCCATGGCTGTCCAGGGGCCCTTTGTATAGAGGATTATTTGAGATTCGAAGGGATGTTAACCCCGGAAAAACTTTTGGAAGGGCGTTGACAAAACTCCACGAGCTTATCTGGTTCCAAGAAACATCTAGGTCTGTAAGACTTGGTGAGAATTCAAGGGGTTCACTTTCTTCGCTTCGGGAGGAGTAAGCACTGTGGATACGGTTCCCTTGGAGAGACAGATGAGTAAGGTTCGGCAATCCTGCTAAACATCGAACCGAAGAGAGCGATTCGAAGTGATTGTTTTCTAGCGTCAGTGTCGTAACCGTAGTTGATATCGGGGTAGAGATAGACGAGAGCTCATTCAAAGAGACTGATAGAGATTTGAGAGACGGGAATCGGAATGTCAAATCCGCTACCTGCAAGTAGAGCAGTTTAGCACAACTCCTTGACATCGAGTAGGATCGGGAGAACTCACATCCTCCCACGGAAGAAGTGTCTCCTCAAGAGATAGCTCCGTCGTCTTCTCAAATTGGAAAGTTCCTGTAATATCATCGAATCGATTCCCGCTACCAAATGTTAGAGTTAAAACTTGATAGGACTCACACAGAACATACTTCAGTTTAAGGCTCCTTAAAAATTTGAGCTGGCTGCATATATCTTCGATCTCCCCCCACCTCCGTATTAAATTTCGACTCAGATCGAACTCAGCAACCTTTGGACAGGTATCGGTGATTCTTCTTAGCTCATCTTCCCGTCGACTTGCGCCGCCACCCGGCGGTAGTAAGCCCTGAATACTCAAACCATCGAGGATAACTATCTGCAGCTCATGCAAAGCAGCAAGCTGTTTCCGAATCTTCTCGAATCCAACTTCTTCCACCGCTTTGCCACTAATCTCAATAGACGACTCAACCCCATGCTCATCGATTTCCACTCCAGCTTGCTTCGAGCGCACCAGATCAGAAGCATATTTCTCATGAAGAGCTTGTAGAAAACCGAGAGGGGTATCTGACGGCCTTGAGGGGCGGACAAATGAGCCAGCAGTGGGATGCTTGCTTAGACCTGTAGAATTTATAAGTACGATAATTCTAATAGAGGGGTAGACTTGTTAAACATCACATTTGAAATATCTCACTCCCTGATGCTCCCCTGAATGTTTTCCCCTGGCGGGATTATCCCATTCCACACCTAGCCATTCACCTTTGGTTCCCTTGACATCGCCGACATAACGTATTGTACAGAGAACGCCATCGTACGAGACTCGCTGCCCTACGGCGTAAGAATGGCTCATCTCTAAAGTAGACACAAGTTACTTCCTGTTGTTCTTATTCACCTTTTGTATTTTGGCGGGATTCACCACCAAGGTTGATGAGTTGTGATTACATAATCATATGCGTAAATCCGCTTCTTCAAAGGTTGGCGATCAAACCGCACAAGTTCACCAGTGAACCCAACCTTCGCATATCAACTTCAACACCGCGCGACTCAATATGGATTACCAGGTACCTACCCATCCCGTCTCCCTTTCTCTACAACAGTAACTAACCCTCCCCTCCAGAACCGCGCAGGCTCCAAATTCGGCGGCGGAGGCGTAGCCTCCTACTCCGCCACCAACGCCGACAGACGCGAACGACTCCGCAAACTCGCCCTCGAAAGCATCGACCTCGAAAAAGACCCCTACTTCTTCAAAAACCACGTCGGAAGCTTCGAATGCCGGCTCTGCTTGACCGTTCACCAAAACGACGGCTCCTACCTCGCACACACCCAGGGCCGCAAGCACCAGACGAACCTCGCCCGGCGCGCGGCGCGGGAGCAGAAGGAAGGGAAGGCGCAGGATGGGTCGCTCCTACCTGCTTCGATGGAGGTGCAGGTTAAGAGGAATACGGTGAAGATCGGGAGGCCTGGGTATAAGATTACGAAGACGAGGGATCCGTTGACGAGGCAGCATGGGTTGCTGTTTCAGCTTCAGTATAATGAGATTACGCCGGATGTGGTGCCGCGGGTGAGATTTATGTCTGCGTTCGAGCAGAAGGTGGATGATCCGCCGGATAAGAATTATCAGTATCTGCTTGTTGCGGCGGAGCCGTATCAGACTTGCGGGTTTAAGTTGCAGGCTAGGGAGATTGATAGGAGGGAAGGGAGGTTTTGGACGTGGTTTGATGAGGATAGTAAGGAGTTTTGGATCCAGTTGATGTTTAAGACTGAGAGGGAGGAGAGGTATAGTGGTGTTCCTGGGTTGGCGCCGAGTGGGCTCAAGAGATGATGGATTACAAGGCGAGGGATGGGGGGATTATCAAAATGTTGTATTTCTAGGGCGTTGTGGACGGAGTCACGATCTAGGAATGCCCTACGGTTTCACACAGTCTTAGGGAATCTAATTTCACACTAATGTTCTCTTTAAAACGGTGTATCTCCCAAATCCCCTTTGCCTGGTTGCGGATGGGCTTTCCTGAGAAGAGCACTTTCCACTGACACCAATAACCTGGAACGCACTCCATACATCACGAGCCATGAAGGAGTATAATAAAATCACCGAATGGCTTTCCACACGGTACATTTACTAAACCTATTGTAACTTGATAATGAGAGCGGCAGAAACAGTAATTCGCATCGGGCATGTATGCTATTATTTTATTTCGTACTAATGCTAAG